GGGGGGGGTGTCTTGAAGATGTTTTACAAGTTTTTTGTTGTTGTCTTTTCTGTTCCCTTTCATCGGTTGCCATGACATCGATCTTCATATCAACACTGAGATTGTGAGTAAGTTAAGGAAATGGTATTTCAACAGAAGGTATAGATATAAAGAGGGTAAGAATATTAATGCTTAGATATTGTAATTGTTAGTATTTAGTTGTTCTTACCTTTCTTTCTTACTACAACGGAGCCCATGGAATTTATCTCTAGCAAAACTGTCAATTATTGGTTCGTAGTCCAATTTTCGCGCTAGACTGGCCTCTATCATACTCTATGGCCAAAATTCCAAGACTTGTGAATCTGTCTCGACACATTGTGGACCCCAAAATGTTTTTCCCCTGAGAAAGGGTACTGAAGGAACGTTCAGCTTGCGCAACTGTGACAGCAGGCAAGGTGCGTAAGATTCGCAACAGGATTACAACGTTTGGAAACGAAGCATCCAGTTTCAGGGAATGAAGTCTGTTCAGCAACTGAAGAGGCGGCAGAACATTTTCTCCAGTGTTCGCTGAATGAATCACTTTCAAATGTTCCATCTCTTGCACAAGGTCGGCTGATGCATCCACTGCATATTCCGGGTGCAATTTGTTTGCAAGATCACGAATAATGCCGACTTCCTCTTGGAGATATTTCCATAAAACACTAAATAACGAATCAAGTTTTATCACTTCATTATACCTTGTCGTCCAATTTCCAAGAAGGCAGTCAATGAGGACATAAAAAACTTCATGTTTGAATTTGTTCTCGGGATGTTGGTAATCTGTTACATCTTCTGCCTCGTCTGCAAAAAGCTTCCTTTTCTTTTGTCGGAGAATGAATGCTCAATCTCATAGTTATCTGCTACTAATTTGGACTCACTCAAGATTGCGTCCCATTCATCTTGTAAGCTTTTCAGATCTTTAATCAGACTTTTGATATGTGCCACCTCAACGTCAAGTGTCACATTTCGTGCTTGAAACACTCTATTTCTGTGATCGATTGCTGTGAAGATTTTGAGCCAAACAGATGCCATTGTCACACATTCAAATGATGCAAAGTACTTAAGAATGCCAATCAAATCTGAACGTGTTTTTGGGGGGAGGTCCATTTGAAAAACAGTTTGAACAGCTTTCCTCAGTCCCCCGATGTGAGCCTCAAAAGGCCTGACACTGTCAACACATGCTGACCAACGTGTCTGAGACATACTGTGCAAAGAGCTGGGAATGTTTTGCTTCAAAATTTTCCACCTTTGTGGAATGGAGCTAAAAATGTTATAGAGCTTCTGTACAACTCCAAAGAAAGTTATGACCGTTGAACAGTTTTCTGCAGAATGCACACCACATAAATTCAAACTATGACAGCCACAGGGAGAGTATGTGGCAAGTGGACGCTGTCTTAAAATGTGAGCCTGTCCACCATTATACAGACAGACAAAACATGTTGCTACCGTTGTCGTAGCTTGGCCTCGGCAGTCTGTCATTGGTATGCTTTTTTTCATTCAGTGTATCAAGGATAATTTTAGCGATGTCTTCTCCTGTTTTCTTGTTACAATCTACACATTTCAGAAATTCATCTTCTACTTTGTAGACATTTGTATCACTGTCCAAGTGAACATGACGCTAAATAAAAATAGTTTGTTCGACGTGTGAAGAGTCAAGCGTTGCATCAACGATAATAGAATGATATCGTTTCCGCTCTTTCATTCAAAATCACGTCTGCCACTTTTGATGCACAAAATTGGATGAATTCATTTTGACTTTCTGGTGATAGATAGTGAACTTGTAGGTGTCTTTCTTCTTTTTGTGATTTTTCAACTTTTCTAAGATGCTCTGCAAGGAGAGGATCGTAATGGCTAATCAATTCCAGAAGTCCAAGAAAGCACTTCCAGAGTTCTGTGAAGTTGTCAGATATACAGCTCAACTTGCAGCCAAAATATATTTTATTTCAAAGCTTTG